GCTCTTCCCATCCAGGCCCTGGGTCACTAGCACCTCATAACTTTCTCTTCCACTGAGGACACAGCCAGCAGCTCCTGCCATGGACAGGTGGTGCCTGGGTGAGTCCGCTGAACCCCATCCCCCCACCTTCTCAGACTCTGACACAGGTGTCCACCCCATCACTTTCAAGTGCACCCCCAGCTCCCCAGGAGTACAGGAAAAGCAGAAACAAGGAGAGACGAGATTTCTAGACAAGGGCATCTCGGTATGGGTCCTGGGCGTGCCGTCATCTCTGCTCCCAGCATCTCTGAGCTGCAAGAGCTGGGAAGGCAACTTGTGCAACAGCCCCCTTTCTGTCTGTGTGTCCATCTGTCTGGACACACTGAAGCCAGACTGCTGGGTTCAGAGCTTGGTTTCCCCACTTTGTAGCTGCCTGACCTCTGGCAAGTTATTTTACTTCTCTGTACCTCAGTTTCTTCATCTATAAAATGGGGATGATAGTAATGCCTTCCTTGCCTCATAGAGTTGCTGTGATGATTAAATGAGTTAACTTTTGTAAAGTGTTTAGAACAGTGCCTTGCATATAGAGTTAAAAATGCAGCTACTGATTTGCTTTCCCGATTTCTCTTGTCTTCTATCATCTCCTGTCTATCTACCTATCTATCCATCTATCATCTTCATCATCATCATCATCTATCATCTATCATAGTCATTCATCTATCTATCTGTCTATCAACTTTCTACCTATTTTTATACTCCAGAAAGAATCCACAGTGGCTTACAAAGATAGACAAAATGTACTAAGATACCAAGGTAATGTATAATAAGGAGGTACCAGTGTCTGTGTGGAGGGCCCCAGGAGTTTTGGGAGTACAGCCATGGGGGCTTTCTAGCTCTGGTTTTGTTCCTGACTGGGTGTTTCGGGCAAATCCCTCAACCTCCCTGCCCTCAGTTTTCCTGGGCTGCCCAGTGGGGATCATGACACTGCCCTGGCCACCTTCAGGGTCATTGTGGAGTCAATGACCAGCTCAGTTTCTTTATCTGTGGAATGGAGCCAACGTGCATTCAGTAGGACAATGCATGCAAGAACTTGACACATGCTCAGCCCCTACCAAAGGTTAGCTCTGTTGTATTTTCATGAATATTCATCACTTGGCCCTGAAAGCAGAAGAGCTGAATGGGCGTCTCGGCTCCTGGTCTGCAGGCCGTGACATTTCCTCTTTCCATCTCACCCTCATGTTCATTTTGCTGGAAGGTGGTTGGCTTTTCTGGGTCTGACAGTGTATGACAGTAACAATAATGACACTTACTGTGTACCAGGCCCCCTGCCACACCCTTTACTGCATTATCTCACTTTCTCCTCATCACAACCCATTCTACAGATGAGGAGACTGAGGCACACAGAGGTTAAGTAACTTGACAGAGGCCATATACTGAGCAAGTGGAGGAGCCAGGAAGTGAACTCAAACCTTGATCCCACTGCCACTGCTCCAGGAAGATTAATAGATGGAGTCCTTTTGAAGAACTAACCCACCCCTGACGGACACTGACTGCTGACCTTGGCCCTTTGGCTACAATTGAGCATCAGCCTGGAAGCCAATTCGATTGATTAGAACTCAGCTAGGAATATGAGCATCCATGGAGTACCCAGCGCTGCGGTCCCCAAGGTGAGTGGGGCCACAGTAGAGCCGGGAGGAGGCCTTGGAAGTGTGGGAAATTTCCTGATTCCTAAAGCTGAGGGTGTGGCTCTCAGTCTCCACCTTGCCTCTCACCGCTGTGTGCCCTTGAGCCAGGGCCCTACCCTCTCTGTGCCTCAGATGCCTCATCTGTAAAATGGGGAAATAACACAAAGTGCGAGGAACTAATAAGAACGTGTTTTGCAAATCGTGAAAACAAGGCGCTGTCCCTGTGGCAGGGCTTGGTCCCTCCCGAGGGAGCCTACCGTGTAACAGTGGGAAACTGGCACGGAAGCCGTGCTTCACGGCTGGAGAATGAAAGTGCCAGAGGCTGCAGGAGACGAGGGGTTGGCTAGGGATGACACTGACTGAGGTGTGAGCTGTTAGATGCAGCCTGGATGGATGAAAAAGATAACAGAGGGAAGGGCGTTCCCAGGCAGCAAAGGCCTGGAGGTGTGAACGTGCATGGGGGTCTCAGGTGCGCTGTGAGGCGGGAGGGGCCGGGTACCCTGGGACCACCGCACAGGAGCCTTGAGTGCCAGACAAGACACATCAGCCGAAACAGCGACCTCCATAGCGGTGGGTGAGGTGGGCAGCTGCTAGGGTCAGGGGCCTCCATGGGACCCCCGACTTTGCCCCCCAGGCTGTAGTATACACGGAATATATTTCGAAACTCCCACTTCCCCATTGTCACAGCCCCAGCCGTGACCTCTCCGGCTGGGGGAAGGACACCACGGCTGATCTGTCCCCGGCACTTCTGTCTGGAAATTTCCTTGGGGAGGGTTTGGAAAGCCGGCCAACTCCTCCCTGCCCCTGCTGCCCCTGCACCTCCTCATGCCTCAGCAGAAGCCCCACTATCCACACCAGGGCCTTTCTTGTGACCAGGGTAAATATTACCTGGCACTGTTAATATTTAATGTCCCCCCCATCCCTGGCCACCCCACAGCCAGGCACTCTCCCCGAAGCAGAGGCAGCGGGAAGAGGGCAGTGGGACGTGCCCAGTCTGCGGAGGGACATGGCAGGATTGTCGACAGATGACGGTGAGTGTGTGTGTGCGTGTGAAGCATTAGGTGCCTCGGACCATCTTTGGAGGGTGAGCAGGACCCCACTCTTCCGTCTCCTGGCACCCCTGCCTTCCAAGAGTACCCACCGCCCCTGCCACATCCCATGCCAGCCTTCCTGCTAAGAAAATTTGCTTTTAAAAGAGGATCCTGCCTCAACTCCAAAGAAATCTAGCTTGAATGGTAGAACCTTGGGTGCCAAGTAGGAGCTGCTGGGGGGTGGGGAGTGGTGAGCTTCCATCTTGACTTTCTGGCATGCATCCGTCCTGGTTCCATGTATCTTTGGGACTATCTAAGCTCAGAGCAGGAGGCAGATGGGGATCAGGCTGGCTGGGGCAGGAGTGGGCCCCTCTGCTCAGCCTTTTCTGGCTGGCTTGGGGGTGAGCACCCCCAAGTTCACGACACGCGCCCAGAAGTCATCCTGCGAACGAGGGTGATCAGGCCTGGAATCCGGTGGGCCTTCCGTTGTCTGTGGTGGTCTTAGAGCCAGATCTAGAAAGGATGAGGGCTTTGGGTGAGGGCTGGCTCATCCAGTGGCTCAAGACGCGGTGGTCAGGGAGGAGACGGGTTCCTGGTATGGTGAGGGGAGCTGTGAGTTTGCTCATGGCTCTGACACTAACGCCCCATGTGACCTTGAACAAGACCTGAACCGAATCTGGGGAGACAACTTCGGAGGCCTTCTGCATGGTGACGGGTGCCTGGGCCCCCCATAGGCTCCCTTGGCCTCAGGCCCTACAGGCCCAGGAGCAGACCCCTTTTAGCCTGTTCTCTCCTGGCCTAGGGCGGGTGTACCGCCAGGACAGCTGGGCTCACCGGGCCCCACGGCCCAGGCACGGTTCAGCACAGCCTGGGAGGTGCCGACTGGTGCGTTCCTTTGACCTTGGGCACTGCTGCCCTAGTGCCAAGAAGGGGCTCAAGTAAGGCAGAGAAAAGGGGCCACCCTTAGCTGTGGCAGAAAAGCTCTGGCCAGGTGCCCTCCAGCTGCGCAACAGTGAGTGTGCTCAGTTTACAGGGCCGGAAGCAGAGCCATGATATCTGCTCGGGGCTGGAGACTGGACCAAACCACTTGGCCTTGAAATGTCTCCTTCCTCCTGACCATGTGACAGGCAGCCCAGCAAAGGGGTTAAGCACCTAGATTCTTAACAACCGATTTCCTGGGTTCATTCCCAGCTCGACCCTTTTCTAGCTGTGTGACTGTGGGTGAGTTGCTTTGCCCCTCCGTGCCTCTATCTTCTCATGGATTATATTGGAAGAATATTAATGCCTCATAGGGTTGTTACAATGGTTAAATGAGCTACTGCTTTGTTAGCCTCAGCCTGGCACATGGTAAGCACAATATATTAATGCTTCTGAAATAAATTTGCTTCCCCCTGAGGATAGCAACGTAGGAGAGAAGAATCTAGAAACATGGGTCCAAGACCCAGGTCTGCCTCCAACTTTTATTGGGACTTTAGACAAGTCTTCAAACTGGGCCTCAGTTTCCTCCTTCTGTTCAGTGAACGTTAAGGTTCTATTTATTTATTTATTCATCCGTTCACTTCACAAATATTTGCCAAGTACCTTGTAGTTGATTAGTTATATGGAGAGAGGTTGCTGGTGAGTCTTATGGGAGATGCCTCTGTTGGCCTTTTCCTACTTTTGTATGAAGCAAGGAGAGGAAGGAACCAGCCCCTCCCAGAGGTGCCAGAGGCCTCCACAGGCATCGTGGGTCCCTGCTTTGGAGGCACAGTATTCGGTCCCAAGCCGATTGTTGGGAGCTGCGTAGGGCAGTGGGGCAGCGGCGTTAGCAGACTCACCAGCCCCCACTCGTGGATGTCTTTCCATCAGCCTTGCCTGGCCCCCTTCGACCCCTAGGGTGCTGGGATGGGAAGGATGGGAGTTCCACTGTTTCTGTGGCTGAAACACACCACCGTCGGTGACTCACCCTTCACCCACTTCTGGCTCTCTCCACAGGTGGCAGCCCCAAGGAGGACGTGGACCCATTCTCCTATGGTGAGCCTGGTGGGCCCCTGCTCCGCACCCTTCCTGAGCCCCCCCCCGCCCCATGTAACCCCGGTTCCTGGCCTCTCCCAGCCCTGGGTTATGTGTCCCCCACCTTCGCCAGTTACTGTAGGGCTGCTGCCAGGTTGGCTGCAGGGAGGGGTCTGGGGTCACTCATCCCACTTCCTTGCCGTCTCCTCCCTCAGACTATGAGACTGTCCGCAACGGGGGCCTGATCTTCGCTGCCCTGGCCTTCATCGTGGGACTTATCATCATCCTCAGTAAGTGGGGCCTTCGTGTGGGAAGTGGGGTGCTGAAGGGGACACATCTCAAAGCCACTGAGTGCACTGGCTTCCCAGGTGGCGGGGGAGAGCCCTCTCGCCCCCTTCCCAGATCCCGGAAGGGGGAAGTGAGTTTCTCGGGTCCCCTCCCCTCCCCCACGCAGGATGTGGAAACGGATGGCCACCTTGATGGAAAGAGGAGTCTTGGATGCCCCACTGCTTGGTCCTCAGACCACCCAGGAGGTTCCTTCTTCCTCCAGTGCGCCCTCCAGTGGATGCTGGGGGGAAGGCTGTGGAGATGGGAGAGCTGGCTTCCAGCGGCTCAGGGAGGCTCCAGTGCACGTGGAGCCAGGCGAAGGGAGGAAACCAGCCTCCACTGGACACCCCCTCCCCCAGATCTGGATGCTTTCTTAGCTTGAGCTACATCTCGGCCCATTTAATCCTCTTGGCAACACTGAGGGATGGCCACCAATGTCACCATTTTGCAGATGAAAAACCAGACCCACCCTGATAGGTGCAGCAAGCTGCCTGAGGTTCCGTAAGCGGAGTGGGTTCAGCCGCAAACCCCCCCCCCCCCCAAACACCCTGCCTGCGGCCGGAAGGCAACCGGGCCTGGCAGCCGGAGGCCTTAGGCACCCCTGTTAGTTTACCATGAATCCCCTACCCCCCCCCCCCCCACCAACACCCTGCCTGCGGCCGGAAGGCAACCGTGCCTGGCAGCCGGAGGCCTTAGGCACCCCTGTTAGTTTACCATGAATCCCCTACTCTCTGGGCCTCAGTTTGCTCATCTGTTAAATGGGGATGATCCCACTTGCCAGGTTAGGGCTGGCAGCCAAAGACACAGCAGCCAAGAAAGCACTCAGAAGGATCCAGCATAGGCATGGGGTGTTCTAGGGGAGAAAAGGGTCCTGGCTCCAGCCCCAGCCCCAGCAGGCACACAGCAGGAGCTTAATAAATGCTTGTTTCGGTGCAACCAGAAGAAACATACACAGAAACACACCAGTGAAAAGAAGAGAGAGAATGTAGCAGATATACCTCTGTGTCCTGGGATTCTAACACATCCATGGGTGGTGCCCCGCCTCCTGACGGCTGCGCTTTGCAGACGTGGCCAGTCTCCCCGATTCCCCTGGAGGCTCCCTGGTGGCAGTGTTGAGCACGTAGGCGGCGGAAGGCAGATGGGCAGGAGCTCTGGACTTGCTGCCATTCTTCTCCAAGAGCTTACTGAGCTGCTTTTGCATGCCCAGCACCACGCAGGGGGCACCACAATGGCCCAGGCTCAGCACCGCTCTCAGCGCGCTCACAGCCCCCCACGGAGCCACTGCAGTGAGTGTTTGTTGACTGACCAATTGACCGACTTGGGCTTCTGAATGCTTATGGTGCAGCCCTATAGAGAGAGAGAGACAGTCAACTGTGGCCTCCAAGGCAGACACCAAGCGGTACAGGCAGGTGGGAGGGAGGAGGGAATACAGAGCCGAGTCCTCCAGGGCAGAGAGGGTCTCCTTGGAAAACTAACCTCCTGTCTCTCTTTAAGGCAGACGATTCCACTGCGGGGGCAGGAAGAAGCAGCGGTGCGCGCCTGCCTGGGTGACTGATGGGGTGGGCGGGGCGGGGGCGGGAGGAGCAGGTCGGGGAGTTTGGTCACTGAGGCCTGTGAGGAGGGTCTACAACTTCAGGGACCCCTGAACTCACCGCCCCCCCGCCAACTTACCTGTCTGCTTTCCTCCATCCCAGGCAAGTTCACGAAGATGAGCTGTAATGAGAGGTAGGTTTGCGAGGGGCGGGCAAGGGGGTGGCCGGGGATGGCTGTGGATAATAAGGAAGAGGTGGGGACGAGCTGGGAAGGACATCAGGGTCTTTCGTCCATCAGCCAGGCGTCTGTCACCCTCATATGTTTTTAAACGATGGCCAAGTGCCTGGCGTGGCACGTGTAGCCAAGGGAGGCTGCCAAGACATGCCAGGGAGAGGTAAGATGAATAAGGAACGAAATGAGAGTCCCGACCTCTGCCCCCTCACAGCCCCAGTCCTGTCTTTGTCTTTGCAGAGCCAGTCGTGTCCACCATTGCACCGGGGCCGCTTGGGAAGCCCTCCCTGAGCTATAGGTCTTTGTTCCCGGGACTGCCAGGCCCTCGGGCTGAAGGAAGCCGCAGGTTCCGCATGACCCCTGGGTGGGCATCGCCTCCTCCCACCCCGTGCTGATAATAAAGCCAGCCTCAGAGACGGCTCCTTCCCTGGCCTGCCTCCCTCCCTCCTTCTCTGCTGTAACTGCCACCATCCGCTCCTCCAGGTTGGAGTCCATACAGCCCGGTCCCTTGTTTTTCAATTATTCGCTCAAGGTGCCCATGCCTACTTAAGCAAGAAGTTCAGTACCATCCCCTCTAGGACTTTCCTAGCGATGCCAAGGACCCCAGGGACAGAGGGCTCGGCCTGCCTTCCAAATGCCAGGCAAAGAGAAAGCCCGGAAGGCGAAGGTCACAGGTTCAAAGCCGCTGGGTCTGTTGGAGCAGCCTGATCATCGGCCCAGGCCCTGGGTGGGGCTGTTGGAGCTCTCCAGTGGGAGAAGCTGCAGCCATGCCCTGGGCTGCCAGCGTTGTAGCTGTTTGTGGCCATATTATGTGCTCTGCCATTTCCCCAGGTGCACCAATGTGCCAGGGTGGGTGGGTCTAGGGGTCTGGGCGGGGGCCTCAGCACACGCTCTCTTCCTATCCCCTTCCTGACCCTGGTGCTAAGCTCCGGCCACCCCTTTACCACTCGTGGGGCCAGGGGGCCTCAGCTGGACCTAACCTTATCCACCTGTTTGGGTGCTGACTTGGTTAACCCCAGGGCCAGGGGCCAGAACGTGGATGGTGAGGGTGAGCCCCTTGTTAACCGTTCCCTCCAGCGCCCTGTCCACTCGGGCAGGCACTCACCCCGGACAACTTCAACCCAGGATGGTGTCAGGCCGGCCCTGCCGCCAGTGCCCGACTTCCTGTTGCCTGTGGCCCCCTGGCGGCCCAGCGCACTGCTCCCCTCGGGCAGTTTCTGCGCCCTGGAAGGAGCCCCTCTGCCCTCTCTCTCCCTTCCCTGCAGAGGCCTCTGCGAGAGGCTGGATGGGATGGTGGGATCATGGCACCACCTAGTGTCCAGTTTACTCATCTGGGTCTGGGAGCAGCCAGGGAAGGAGGCGGGACTGGCCTGGGAACCCAAGACAGCAGCAAGTTAGCAGAGTTTAAAACGAACAGGGAGGGCGTGTTTGGGGACCAGAGGCAGGGTAGGCAGCATTCTGCTTGAGAACTGAGTTCTTTGTCATAATCCACTGCTGCCTGGACCACCAGCCCTCACAGACTCACAGAATGCTTGAGCACCAAAGGCCCCTAAAGAGTAAAATAAACAATCCTCGATTTTCAGCAAGGGAAACTGAGGTCCCGAGAAACGCAGTGACTTGTCCGGGTGACCCTGCCAGCCTGTGTCGGAGCCAGAGCTACAACCCAGGTCTCTGGCCCCCCC